AAGGGGAAAAGCTAATAACTTCAGAATACTAGCACATAACAAGTGATAGATGGCTGTAAAACTGACAAGCATGCTATGACTTCTTCAAAAATGTTTATTCATTCATTCAGTCGCTTCTGATTCATGACCTCATTGACCAGCCCATGCCAGAGCTCCCAGTTCAAAAGCGTCTTATCTTGCTTCGCTCAACCTTCCTTATGGTCCAGCTCTCACATCTGTAGGTTACTATGGGGAATACCACTGGTTTAACTATGTAGATCTTTGTTGCCAGTGTGATGTCTCTTCACTATTTTATCGAGATTGGTCATTGCTCTCCTCCCAAGAAGTAAGCGTCTTCTGATTTCCTGGCCACAGTCTGCATCTGCAGTAATCTTTGCACCTAGAAATACAGTCTGTCACGGCCTCCACGTTTTCTCCCTCTATTTCCCAGTTGTCAATCACTCCGGTTACTAGAATCTTGGTTTTTTTTATGTTTAGCTGCAACCCAGCTTCTTCTTTCACCTTGGTTAGAAGGCTCCTCAGCTCCTCCTCGCTTTCGGCCATCAAAGTGGTGTCATCTGCATATCTAAGGTTGTTAATGTTTCTTCCAGCAATTTTCATCCCAGCCTTGCATTTGTCAAGCCCCACAAATCACAATATGTGTTCTGCATGCAAGTTGAATAGGTTGGGTGAGAGTGTACAACCCTGCCGTACGCCTTTCCCAATCTTGAATTAATCTCGAAAACATGAACACTCTCCTTTTCTATATATGGGGAAAATCCATGTGATTGCCCCACACATTGCTCTCAACGAGTATGTTCACCGGACATGTTTATTTCTATATTCTGCCCTTATTGAACTGAAATGTTAACAAAAGATGTATATTTTTAACCACCGAAATGGAAATCATAAGGAAAGCGGAAGCTGATGGAAGGAAAAGGAATCCTTGGCTGCATTTTGGAAGAAATAATATAATCAGAGTTGGAAGAGACTTCGTGGGCCATCCAGTCCAAGAAGCAGGAAAATCACATTTAAAGCATCCATGACACATGGCCATCCAGCTTCTGTTTGAAAGCCTCCAAAGAAGGAGACTCCACAGTACAGGGCAGAGAGTTCCACTGCTGAACAGCTCTCACCATTTGGAAGTTCTTCAAATTTTCAACTGATCTCTAAAAAGTTCGGAATATATTGGCAAGACTTACCTGGCCTAGTGGTTCCCTTCTATATGTGCCTATTGTTAATTATGGAGAAACGTTTGCTGGAACATAGTGACCCATTTGTTGACTGACACAGGAACTTATCCATATTTGTTCTATGTTATTTATGGCCCTAGTTCCAAACTTTCTTTTTTAAAAAATAGTACACAGGAACGAGCACACCTATTTCTTTGACTGATACAGATCTGTATTTTTAAATGCTAAATTTGATTTCCTCATTTTGACAAGTGGTTTTAGAGCAAAAAGTCAGAGGTGTGAATTATCTGAATTTGTATCATAATTTCATCAAATTGAATTCTCCTTCATTCCTACTTGATCTTGAAGAAGTTCCTTTTTGGCTGGAATTTACTGGGAACTGTACTCTGAGAAAACTAACACTTCTGTGCTGTGACAGCAATGGAAATTGAATGGCAAGCAGAATGCATTAACCATATGTTATTACCTACACCCCTTCTTGTAAAGGGCAATTAAAACGCTTGTGGAATAAAATGGCTTAATTTTAAGAATGCCGCTGAAAGCAAAACAATTCTTAATGCATTACTAACAGGAACTGAAGGAAAACAGGAAAAGAGGAAATGGCGGAATTAGTGCTTTTAAGAAAATTGAATAGCTTTATTGTCATTGTACTATTGTACAACGAAATTAAATGTCCAGCATACACCACAAAACACCACACCCATCCTTCTACACTCTAACCACCCCCACACAGCCCCCAATGCCACATCAATGTGAAACCTTGGAGTTCAACATAGCCACAGCTCTAGCTATATTTCAGTCTGTTTGTCCTTGTCTTTATCACCCCGTGCCATCGGCCAGATGGCAATAATTAAAAAAAAAGAATATGCTGGGTGAGATTTATTTATTTATTTATTTTTATAGACTACATTTATACCCTGCCTTCTCTCATCCCAAAGGGGACTCAGAGTGGCTTCCAAGTTATATGTACACACAATATACAGTTGGGGGTGGGGTATTTAGTCAGATACCAATTGTACAAGTTCTCCCATTTAAAAAGATGAGAGGCCTGTAGTTGACATCCTAGGTAAACCTCAACTATGAGACACAACATGAGAAAACACATCCAGAAAATCACATTGTCTGATTTTTAATGAATGTATTTGCAAATTAAATTGTTTGCTCTAGAACAGGCCTGGGCCAACTTTGGCCTTCCTTCCAGGTGTTTTGGACTTCAACTTGCACAATTCCTAGCAGCCTCAAGCCCCTTCCTGAGAAAGGGGCTTGATTATTTCTACACTATGTCTGTATTTTGCACCTGTTTCTCTATGTTGTACACCGCAATGAGTCGCCCCTGAGCTGAGAATTGCGGTATATAAGCGAAGTAAATAAATAAATAAATAAATAAAAATAAAATAAAAGGAAAGGGCCTGAGGCTGCTAGGAATTGTGTGAGTTGGAGTCCAAAACACACTGAGGGCCCAAGTTTGTCTATGCCTATTATAGATATCCAGAAAGGTGGGGGGAGGGTAATTCTTACCTTGTAGAATTACCTTGCATAGCTGAAGCCTGAACAAAAATGTAACAGTATCCAAAAGTCCCAGAGTGGAGGAAGGGAGGGAGAGGCCTTACCTTGTAGAATCACCTTGCATAGCTCAAGCCTTAACAGTATCCAAAAGTCCCAGGCTCAGAGTGGAGGAAGGCAGGGAGAGACCTTACCTTGTAGAATCACCTTGCATAGCTGAAGCCTGAACAGTATCAAAAAATCCCAGGCTCAGCCTACGCCCCAATCAGCTGAATGCATATTATTTTACAGTTCACACACACTGGTTCCTTACACCAGGCATCCCCAAACTGCAGTCCTCTAGCTGTTTGTGCCTCCAACTCCCAGTTGCCCATGCCTGTTATAGATATCCAGAAGGGTGGGGGAAGGGTGCGGGGAGGGAGAGGCCTTACCTTGTAGAATTTGCATAGCTGAAGCCTGAACAGAAATATAACAGTATCCAAAAGTCCAAGACTCAGAGTGGAGGAAGGAAGGGAGAGGCCTTACCTTGTAGAATCACCTTGCATAACTGAAGCCTGAACACTATCCAAAAGTCCCAGGCTCAGCCTACTCCCCATTCAGCTTCATGCATCTTATTTTACAGTTCACACACACACTGGTTCCTTACACCAGGCATCCTCAAACTGCAGTGCCCTAGCTGTTTGGGCCTTTGGGCGCTTAAGTGGCTGCGGGAGTAAAGGAAAAGGCCTGAGGCTGATAGGAATTGTGGGAGTTGGGAGTCCAAAACACTTGGAGGGCCCAAGTTTGCTCATGCCTGTTATAGTTATCCAGAAGGGTGGGGGGAGGGGGAGGCCTTAACTCATAGAACCTTGCATAACTGAAGCCTGAACAGTATCCAAGAGTCCCAGGCTCAGCCTACTCCCCAATCAGCTTCATGCATCTTATTTTACAGTTGACACACACTGGTTCCTTACACCAGGCATCCTCAAGCTGTAGTTGTCTTGCTGTTTGGGCCTCCAACTCCCAGTTGCCCATGCCTGTTATAGATATCCAGAAGGGTGGGGGGAAGGAGAGGCCTTACCTTGTAGAATTACCTTGCATAGCTGAAGCCTGAACAGAAATGTAACAGTATCCAAAAGTCCCAGACTCAGAGTGGAGGAAGGAAGAAGTTTTACCTTGTAGAATTGCCTTGCATAGCTGAAGCCTGAACAAAAATTTAACAGTTTCCAAAAGTCCCAGGCTCAGCCTACTGCCTGCAGCTTCATACATCTTATTTTACAGTTGACACACACTGGTTCCTTACACCAGTCATCCTCAAACTGCAGTCCTCTAGCTGTTTGGGCCTCCAACTCCCAATTGCCCATGCCTGTTATAGATATCCAGAAGGGTGGGGGAAGGGTGCAGGGAGGGAGAGGCCTTACCATGTAGAATTACCTTGCATAGCTGAAGCCTGAACAGAAATGTAACAGTATCCAAAAGTCCCAGACTCAGAGTGGAGGAAGGGAGGGAGAGGCCTTACCTTGTAGAATAACCTTGCATAGCTGATGCCTGAACAAAAATGTAACATTTTCCAAAAGTCACAGGCTTAGCCTACAGTTGACACACACAGATTCCTTACATGAGGCATCCTCAAACTGCAGTACCCTAGCTGTTTGGACCTTTGGGCGCTTAAGTGGCTGTGGGGATAAAGGAAAGGGCCTCCCAGTTGCCCATGCCTGTTATAGATATCCAGAAGGGTGGGGGGAGGGTGCGGGGAGGGAGAGGCCTTACCTTGTAGAATTACCTTGCATAGCTGAAGCCTGAACAAAAATGTAACAGTATCCAAAAGTCCCAGGCTCAGCCTACTCCCTGCAGCTTCAGGCATCTTATTTTACAGTTCACACACACTGGTTCCTTACAGCAGACTCAAAGTGGAGGAAGGGAGGGAGAGGCCTTACCTTGCAGAATCACCTTGCATAGCTGAAACCTGAACAGAAATGTAACAGTATCCAAAAGTCCCAGGCTCAGCCTACTCCTTGCAGCTTCATGCACCTTATTTTACAGTTGACACACACACTGGTTCCTTACACCGGGCACCCTCAAGCTGTAGTTCTCTAGCTTGTTTGGGCCTCCAACTCCCAGAAGCCTTAGCCGGTTTGTTCAGGAATCCTGGGAGTTGGAGTCTGAAAGGAAAGGGCCTGAGTCGGCTAGAAATGGTGGGAGTTGAAGTCCAAAACACCAGAAGTTGGCGCAGGCCTCCTCCTTCCTGCTTGCTTTCTTCTCCTCAGGCCCTCTTCCTGAGGCCAGGGCCGGCTCGGCCCCAGTGCGCATGCGCAGTGTGGGCGGAAGGCCTGCCCCTGGAGGAAGCCTTCCCCTTCTCCCTCCTTCCTGCTGCTGCTGCGAGTGCGCCTCCGCCGGCCCGGGAGGGGAGAGCGAGGCCTGCGCGGAGAAGCAGCAGCAGCAGCCGGAGCAGACGCCGCCGCCGCCGCCGCCGCAGCCCCCACCATGGTAAGCAAGCGAGGGAGGAAGAGAGGGAGGCCCAAGCCCGGTTGCTGAGGGAGGGAAGGCAGGAATAAGGCAGGAGAGGGTGCCTGGCAACGCGGGGCCTAGGCCTCCACTAGGCCTCAACGTGTTTTCTCTTTCTAATCCTACAGGTTGAGTCGCCTCTGTGGGTTACCTTTGTTGTTTATATCTATCTCTGCCTTGTCTGTAGTGTTTTGGGATGTAATGGAAAAGGGATTGTAGTTTTGGAAGGTACACCCTGGAGAGGCGAGTGCTACAGGTTCTCCCTCTTCCCTTTGGACTTGTGATCATTCCCATTATCACATCTCCCAACCCTTCCACCCAGAATGAGCAAGGCAGAATAACCCACCCTACCTGCTTGGAATTGGGTGACCTGAGTGAGTCCACACTGCTATCTATCCCAGTCCAAAGCAGGTAATGTGAGGTTTGATTTCATCTGTGTGGAAGGAAGGGGCCAATTACAAGTCTGAGCATCCATTATCCGTTTTCTTTACTTTAAATTACATCTAGCTGGGGGTGGTGACGGCCGACAGGGAGCTCTGGCGTGGGCTGGTCCATGAGGTCACGAAGAGTCGGAGACGACTCAACGAATGAACAACATCTATCTATCTATATAAAAATGCTTGTGCAGAATGAGTACCTTAAAAACAAAAGAACCAATGAATGAAATCACACCAAATTTGGCAACAAAACGTCTCACAACACAAGGAGTGACCATCACTCAAAAAATTATGATTTTTGTCATTTGGGAGTTGTAGTTGCAGGGATTTATAGTTCATCTACAATCAAAGAGCATTCTGATCTCCACCAATGATGGAACTGAACCAATTTTGGCACACAGAACTCCCATGACCAACATAAAACACTAGCACGGTTTGGTGGGCATGGATCTTGAGTTTGGGAGTTGTAGTTCACCTACATCTGTGGACTCAAACAATGATGGATCAGGACCAAATTTTGCACAAATACTCAATATGCCCAAATGTGAAAACTAATGGGGTTTGGGGGAAATCGACCTTGGCATTTGGGAGTTGTAGTTGCTGGGATTTATAGTTCATCTACAATCAAAGAGCATTCTGAACCCCACCAACAATAGAATTGGACCTAACTTTCCACAAGTAACCCAGACGACCAAGAGAAAATACTGTGTTTTCTGATGGTCTTTGGCGACCCCTCGGACACTCTCTCACGACCCCCCCCCCCCCCCCCCCCCCGTGGTCCCGACCCACAGGTTGAGAAACACTGGTATAGTACAATATAGTAATATATAATACTGATATTGTACTATGCTAATAATATAATATAATGTATGTATATATATCTTGTAAGCCGCTCTGAGTCCCCTTCGGGATGAGAAGGGCGTCACATAAATGCCGTAAGCAAGCAAGTAAATAAATAAATAAATAGATGATTATTTATTGATTTGTTTCAATGATTGCTTATGTATTGTTTTTAACTATGACTTATGTTCAATTGTGGTTTTATTATTGTAATTGCTATGTAGTGGCATCCTAACAGTGCCCATTGTAAGCCGTCCTGAGTCCCCCTTCAGGTGTTGAGAAGTGATGGGATAGAAATACGGTAAACAAATAACCCAGAATATCAAGGCAGAATAATTACCCTATCTGCTTGGAATTGGGTGATCTGAGTCCACACTGCTATCTATCCCAGTTCAAAGTAGATATTGTGGGATTTTATTTCATCTGTGTGGAAGGAAGGGGCCAATTACAAGCCTGAGCATCTGTTATGTGAAATTTTGAAGGTGATGTTTATTGATATCCCTCTTTTTCTCTCCATATGGGGACTCAAAGCAGCGCACCATGAAAAGCATCACAATACAAGGATTGAAACAGTATTAAATAACAATCCAAGTTGAAACCATAAAAGCCTATTTATCACATCTCTAAGCCCGTTCACACAGCCCCATAACCCAGAATTATCAAGGCAGAAAAACCCACTCTACCTGCTTGGAATTGGGTGATCTGAGTCCACACTGCTATCTATCTCAGTTCAAAGCAGGTAATGTGGGATTTTATTTCATCCGTGTGGAAGGAAGGGGCCAATTACAAGTCTGAGCATCCGTTATGTCCTCCCTTTTTTGTTTTCTTTACTTTTTATATACATACATACATATATACTAGCTGTCCCCTGCCATGCGTTGCTGTGGCCCAGTCTGGTGATCTGGAAAATAAAGTAATGAGAAAGTGTTGGTTTCTAATACATACAATTTCTTTATGGTTGTGAGTAAACAATATTTCTTGCTGTTTCTTTGCCAGCGTTGATGTGGAGATTGTCTGGTTTAACTACTTTGGAACATGCAACATATCATTGCCCTTCTTTAGAGGTAATCAAAGTCCCCCTGACAAAGAGCCATCCAGCCATAGATATAGATAGATAGATAGATGATAGATAGATAGATAGATAGATAGATAGATAGACAGATAGATAGATATTATTCACACACAGAGAGATATAGTATCATAGATTTGAAAGGGACCCTTAAAGAAGGGCAATGATATGTTGCATGTTCCAGGGTGAGCAAACCAGACACTCTCCACATCAACACTGACAAAGAAACAGCAAGAAACACTCTTTACCCACAAGCACAAAGAAATTACATATATTAGAAACCAACACTTTCTAATTACTTTATTTTCCAGATCAACAGACTGGGCCACAGCAACGCGTAGCAGGGGACAGCTAGTGTGTGTGTGTGTGTGTGTGTGTGTGTGTATATATATATATATATATACACATATACATACATACACACACACACATACGGAGACTTAAAGCAGCACACCACAAAAAGCATCGCAATACAAGTATTGAAACAATATAATAATAATAATAACCATCATCATATGGTCACTCTCCAAAGTATTAAACATCATTGATATTAAAACAATCCAAGTTAAAACCATAAAAGCCTATTTATTACTAGCCGTCCCCTGCCACGCATCACGGTGGCCCAGTCTGTGTACATGTGTTTTGTGTGTGTATATATGTGTGTATATATGTGTGTTTGCATATGTGTGTGTTTGGTTTTGTGCGTGCGTTCTAATGTATTTTTTGGTTTTTGGCTTTTTAAGTCTCTTCAGCTGTGTTTTTCAGTGTTTTATGAGTGATGGTCACTTGTTGGCCTGATAGGTGTATTGTGTCTGAATTTGGTATCAATTTGTCCAGTGGTTTTTGAGTTATGTTGATCCCACAAATGAACATTACATTTTTATTTATATAGATTATTATTGTTATTATTGTATACATTACAAATCAGAGTACCTATTATCTGAAATTATTATTGTTATCATCATCATCATCATTATTGCATCTATTACAAGTCTGAGTATCTGTTATCTGAAATTATTGACACAAAAGCACAGTACATCACAGCAAACAAGATCTCTATGCTGGGTTTCGTATCACAAAATCACAAGTCAAACACTTCCCAAGCGTCTAGGAAAGTGTTGTTACATTATTATTATTATTATTATTATTATTATTATTATTATTTATATCCTTGTCTTATGTTAACACTTGTATGTTATAATTTTATGTTATTCGATGCTTCTACTGATTTTGGTTAATTTTTAAAAATATTTTATATTTTATGTATTCTGTTTTTCACTGTGTTGCCTTGTAAGCCGCCCGAGTCCTTTTGGGGAGATGGGGCCGAATATAAATAAATTTATTATTATTTTCCAAAATGCATGTGCCCAGAAGTGCTTCGGATTTGGAGGGAACTCCCTCCCCATTTTGGAATTTTGTGTAAAATACGTAATACCTTGGAGATGGGAGCCAAGTCTAAACATGACATTTGTGTACTTTTTATATACATCTGATATGCGTAGCCTGAAGGTATGTATTAAAAGAAATACAGGTTGAGGATCACATATCTGGAATTCCAAAATGCCCTGAAATCCAAAACGGTCCATATAGGTTGTTGAAATAGAGTAGCACCAATTTCTATGACATAAACACATATTTCTCTTGATGGCTGTTGTTTCTTATTCAGAAGCAATGTTTAAAACTATACTCAAGCCAGTCTATCAGAGGTAAAGCAAAGTAATTGTATATGCACCCAGAGCCGTAACACCTTTCAAATCACTGCCCACTATCCTAAAACTAATACATTACTGGTAATACAGACTGAGTATCTGCTATCCAGAAATCGAAAATGCTCCCAAATCCAAATCTTTCAGATGGTTCAGGGTACATTTCACGGTTTTAATGGGGATAAATTATTTACAGTAGTGTATGAAGTTACTTTCAGACTATGTCTATAAGGTGTATATGAAACATAGATTTTTATTTATCGTGTCATCAGCAACCATTGTATTACAATTCTAACAGAGCAAAACAAACACAGAGATGAATTTTGTGTTTAGATGTATGTGCCATAACCACAATAGCTCATTGTATATGTAGATATTCCAAAATCTGAAAAAAAAACCCAAAACACTTTACATCCCATGCATTTTGGATACGGAATACTCAACCAGTATGTTGTAAACTAAATTAATTTGGCTATAATTTTCAAGTTACTTATTGTGTGTCCTGTTCTTAACCTAATATGACATGGTTATTTCAGTCTACAGAAACAGGTTTTCAGAATACCTCTTATTGTCTTTAGGACTCATATTTAGGCCTTTTAATGGCAAAAAATTCCACAGGAACTGAGGTGTCTTTCTACATGCCTTTTAAAATTTTGCAACTAGGAAACAAACACAAACCCCAAACAAGCAAGAGTTTTTCAAAGTAAGTGCCACTAAATTCAACCAAAGTTCAACCAAAATCAGAAAAGGTTCCTTTTCAATAAAGCATGGGCATGCGGACATGTGTTCTACAATGAAAAAAATTGTAATCATATACAATGGCCCTTGGTATTTTGTGTTTAAAACAAAGTTTGTGTTTATTGAACTATCAAAAAGTAAATATTGTCACTGTTTCAACTATTTTAATATATGTTTATATAGTTGCATTTT